TTTAAAATCTGGCGTGATGCAGATATAAGTTCCTGTGCTGCTACCAGGTGTCTTTGAATTAATCAACAGTGTCTGTGGTTGATGTAGTGCAAATGTTTTTAAACGTTTGTGGTTGGATAAGTAGCTAAGATGATAATTTTTTGATTGTATATTACAGGATTCTGCAGTAGCAATGAAGGCTTTGGTTGAGTATACAGTGAGGCAGCGAATTCGTGATGTGTCGTCCTTGTCTGTGACTGTGGAAGCCACGTCACTTCAAGGTCATGTCAGGAATCTATATGTCAATGAGAAGAATCTTGCCCAGCTCCAGAGAATAGAGGTACTTGTGCAAAATATCTTCAACGTAGAGTATTTTGTGTCTTGAAAAGTGCATTGTTAACTTTTAATGTTCGTGGGACAACATTTGTCCAGCCACAGATATTCAGGGCCGAATCATGTCCGATGTTCATTATTTCACTGGAACATTCATGATTTTCTTTGCAAATGGTTTTGGCCTTATTGATTAGACTGTGTAACATTCATCTCTTTACATGATGAAGATGGTTAGATTCCAATGTATTTTGCAGATTCCTGAGGCATGGGGCACTGTAAAGGTACAGGCCAAAGGAGCTGGCTATGCCATTCTACAGATGTCAGTGCAGTACAATGTGGACATCGGCAAGTTCCAGACAGAACCACCAGTGCGAGCTTTCTCACTGTACACACGAGCCGACTTTCATGGCAGGAATCAGTCTCACATCACATATCACTGCTGCCAGAGGTAATGCAGCCAGGTTTATCCTGAACATGAATTAGATGGATGAGAAATTTATTATTTTTTGTCAGTAAACCTAAAAGCAAAATTTATATTTTATCTCATTTTGTGTTAGCGATAAAGTTGATATGTTCCTGTAAGGATAGGACGTAGAATATGGGTGTTTGAGAACAGCGTACTCGAGAGAATATTTGTACCTAAGAGAGTAAAAGTGACAGAGATTGGAGAAAACTGCATGGTGGGACACTTTGTAATTTGTTCTGCCTGTCTGTTAGAGTGGGGTCCGCAGTGGCTGCGCGGTCTGCGGCGTGGGCCTTGTGCCGCTTGGTCGCTGGGACCATGGGTTCGAATCCCACTCAAGCAATGGATGTTTGTTCGTGTTTGCGTTTTTATGTGTTGTTATGTTCTGTGTACAGGTAGAGGCCTTGCGACGGGCTGATCCCTCGTCCAAGGAGTCCTATCAAAATGTCTAAAGATCAAAACCAACGAAAAGGATGGGACCCGCAGTGCTCAGGCACTTGAAGAACGGGTCGTTCCCAGTATCCCAGTCTGTTAGAGTAAAACCTCATTAATTCAGAGTGCTTGTGACCAGAAATCCTAGCTTCAAATATTTTTTTCTGTGGACATGCCTGTGGTGTTGTTGAAGTATTGGTGTAATGTTGTAATATGAACACTGATTATTGAGTAAAATGGTTCAAAAGAGATATTGTTACAACTGCTACTTAAGATTAATGACATAAAACATAAATGAAGCCCGTGAACAATTTCCCTGTTAAAATTTAACTTTAGGTAATTGTTTCTTAAAATACAAATGAATGGATCTTTGCTTCAAAGATTGCATGTAGATCGTAGACACGTCTTGAATGTCATCCATCACCTTCAGAATTTTCTCATGGAGAATTAGGGTGTAACAGTATGGATTGAAGAGAATGAGTTGTGAAATGGCGTAGTTTTGTGATGGTAATGGTGTTTAACATGGTAAAGAACCTGTGGGTTGTGTAAAAGTGTGAAATACCTTGTCAACCAGTGTGACTATTAGCATTTCAAAAAATGTCCTGTGGCATTGGTTTGTTGGTTGTGTGACACGTTTGAAATGTTTTTGACAGAAATCATGCATATCGTTTTTAAAATATTGATTATGGTTTGCTTCTTCCAGGTGGACAAATTTGAATGAATCTGTACGATCAGGACTGGCTGTGTTGGATGTTACAATTCCTACGGGTTATATAGTCCAGCAGCAAGATCTTGATGGATACATTCGCTCAAGACAAGTTCGTAATTTGCAACGTGCTCGTTTCCAGGAACGCAAAGTTCTCTTCTACTTTGACTTTGTGAGTATAATTTATTTAGTGTTTGAAGCTATGTAACAGAGCGTTATAAGCAGGAAATGATGGAGGTGTAAAATATGTCTTACACTCAGAAATTTTAATGGACCTTAAGAGGTTGTTAAAATTGTAAAGGAAATTAATTAATGCCGCAAGTGTGCCTCATATGATGCCCTTGCAGATCCATAACATATTGGTGTCTGGTTCATATGGTACTCCACTTTTATAAAGAAGGAATTTGCAGAAACAGTGTTAGATGCTAGTGTGGAGGTTTGTCTACAAATAAATGCATAGAAAACTTTGTGTGATGAAGTTTGAAAACAAAGATCTGAGGAGAGTATTTGGACCAAAGTGAGAAGTATCAGCCGGAGGAAGAAATTATATAATGTGGAGCTTTCAAATTTGGGCTCTTTACCATACATTTTTAGAGTTATTAAGTTAAGGAGGATGAGATGTAAATATAGCGCACTAGGCTATATTTATAAATTGCAGATGAAAAGTACATACAAAGTGTGACTTGTAAAACCTGAAGGGAAGAGACTGCTTAAGAGATGTTGGTGTACGTAGAAGCATTATATTAAAATGGATCTTAATAAATTACTATCCTAAAGAAATTTGATGTTCCATGAAAGGGTAAGGAATTTTTTGACCAGTTTAGGAAGTATCAGATTATCAAGAATTGCTCTGCACTGTGGAGTTGTTAATGTCTTGATGTTTGAGTCGATGACAATGTATTCACTTCATAAATGTGAAATATGTACCACTGCTAGATTTTATACTTAGTTGCTTTTAATTTAAATTATTTTAAGTTGATATTGAAGTAAACATCAAGTCATATGTGTGACAGGGCCATTTTCATCTTAAATTAAATTATTTGATGGTATTAATTTTTAGTACAGTGGATTCCGGTTAATTTGGATACATCGGGACTAGAACACTTTGGCCCAATTAAGCAGCTGCCCCAATTATGCGAAGTTCCGCATAAAGAGTTAAAAAGGTTCTTTAAGATTTGTCCCAAATAAACGGCTGCCCCGATTAACTGATGGCCCAATTAACCAGAATCTACTGTATTATCATTTTATTTCAAGTTAACTTATTGTAAATTGTTGTTAATATGTAAATTTCAGTGTAGGAAGATGTTAAAAATTTCTTAAAAGATTTGTGCTATTTATATTTTTTACCACGATGGGGAAATTTCCGTAAGTTGGCTCTTATTTTGCATACTGAAGAGTATTCCTTAATTATAATTTGTTATTTGACTGGGGGAAACAGTTTTGTAATCAGTCGCTCCTACACACCCTCAGCTTTAAGCAGGAACTGGTTTCAGCTGTTTAAGCCACGCAGCTATCAAAGTTATTTATTTTTTAATTTGTATTATTTCTTCAAAATATTAAAACAAGGCAACATTGGAATATATTTTGAATGCTTCAGATAATATGTTAAGTATTTCATAATTGTGACGTAACTGTGGAAGAAGTTTCAGTGGTTAATTTTCTTTTGGAAAGTTTTAAATTATATTGTTTTATGTTTTCTCAGTTGGATAAGAAGGATACATGTGTCAACTTCACAGTAGAGCGGTGGTACCCAGTTGCCAACATGTCTCGGTATCTCCCTATTAGAGTGTATGATTACTATGCGCCAGGTAAGCAGTCTTGTTTGAATGTTGTGTTTGCTAATAAATACTTCTTTCAGATGTTTATCAAACATCTCTTTTCTTATTGTTTTGTTACTATTTTCACTAAGTGGTGAGTCCGTAGATAAAAGTATTTTGTTGTCTTCTGCAGCTGTTGGTATTTTGCTGCTTTGTTTACTGTGATTTATCGCTTTGGTAAGATTCTTTCGGTGTTTTATCTTTAATTTGCAAGTCAAGATCTCTTCTAGGTATTCTCTTTCTATTTATTATTTTGTGACTCCTACAAAAGAATCAGTCCAAATCCAAGGTCCCTTGTAACATTTTGTAACATGGTGGCTTTTTTTATGATGGGGAATTATTAGATTCTGCCCAATCCCCTGAGCTGAAAAACCA